AGATGCTCAGGAGAAAAGAAGATGATAAAACAAACGGTACCCCTACTAGCAAACGCAAGCGGAAATGGCCGGATTAGTGTCAGTTAGGGGATGAGTGAAAGATCCGAGAAATAGCAAGACCGAAAGCGCCACCAGAAAGGGCAAAATGAACCAAAACCAGCGAAAACGCTTGTCGGAAAGAACTCAAAAGTAACGGAGTGGCGAGTGATGCAAACGACCGAATTAGGGTCAGGAAGGGGATCAGCAGCCACATGGAGAAAACGATGACTCTTCACCCTTTGTGCCTTTTCAGCGCGATAATTCGAAAAGTACTGACCCAATTTACACGAAAGTTTAATACGATAAACAGACTAACCCTTACTAAAGACCAACAAGAAAACAGAGCGAATGGCCTAATACGATGGCCAAAAGTCGGCAAGTAACGGTCATTAAAACTAGCGAAATATTTAACGGAATTTACTAAATGATATATTGATTGAATCGGGGTAGCAAGGTGAACACAGCGGTGTAATACATAAAAACGTATGACACAAATTTGACGAGAAGAAAACCCACTACATAGGGATAGCACTATACCTGACTAACCCACTGCTGAAAGGTTAAGAAGCTTTTTAATAATAATTTAAATAAGTTTTTGTATATGCATTTTCTGTTAGACTGTTAACAATGACATTGAATATTAGTTATGTATTAATATATCATTGTTAGATAACCTCAGTTTTAAAATATTGACTACATATTAATACTGAAGATATCTGATAAGGAAAAGTTGCATGGATAATATATGACAATAGAAATTCAAGTTTTAGTGATTCACGTTACCACTGAAATCATTATTCTGATTATCAAAGTTGTATTATTTAATGAAATTTTGTAGTATTTCTTGTTTATTTTATATTTTTTATGAATTATGCTTTAAATTAAATACATTATTGGTTTTACTTTTTAATTATCAATAGTTTCTTTTTTCTGAAAATCTCTCTTAAAAGTGGGATATATCTTAAATTTGAAATAATATGATATCTTTTACTTGAAAGTTTATTTTGAAATTATTAATGCAATCATATCTCTAACTGCATTACTATAATCAATTAATAAACTCCACCATACCTTTAAAATGCAGTCTATTTTAAAAACTTATTGAACGTTTTCGGTCAGATTAACAGACCTTCTTCAGGATCGAACTAACAGAGAATTCTGTTAGTTCAATCCTGAAGAATCTATCAGTGTTAAATTTAGACAATTGCCATAGAAATTTAAGAGTTAACCCAGGGGTCCCCAACCTTTTTGTACCTAAGAGCACATTCTAGAATACCGATCAGAAGGCGGGCACCATTTATTTTTTTCAAGGTAAATTTATAGTTGGGCATAGTTAATAATACATACACATAATGTACAAGAAAAAAAGAAAAACATTTAATTCAAAAAATGTAATTTAACATATAAAAATTATTAATATTCTTGTGTAAAATATGTAATTATTAAACAATGCATACAAAATCTACAAAGTATAAAAATTCTTTATAAAAAATATAAATCTCAAAGTCAATGTGATTTTTGGCATTGCATTTCATTGGCCATTGCTTCGTAATTAGGAGAATATGATGATATTCCTGCTCGTAAGCAATCGTCAAGGTGTTCATCTGTAAGTCGTGATCTGTACTTTGATTTTATGATATTCATTGTCGAAAACAATGATTCACACAAGTATGTGGAACCGAAAAATGACTTTATTTTATATGCTGCTCTTTTCAAGGATGGAAATTTGTTTCTTTCAACTATATTCCAGAAATTCTCATCTGATATAAAGGATTTTAGGACAATGTCGTTCTGAAGATCCAAAATTTCTATCTCCAGTTCTTCTGTCCTTACTTGAACAAGCTCTGAAATATATGTAGCTAGTTCAGTTACATTTACTTGGTAAGTAAAAGGATTGACAAAAAAGGTGACAATTGGCTCAATGATATTAAATTGTTGAAAGCGCTTTTCAAACTGGTCTTGAAGTAACTGAAGGTTGATAACAAATGTTGATAAGTCAATTTCACCATCGCCTATTATTTTTTTCATATTTGGGAAATGCACAAGGGACTTCATCTTCAGATGTGATATCCACAAAACCAGTTTAGCTTTAAATGAGTTTATAGACCCTATCATTGTAGCTATATGTTTGTCCTTTCCTTGCAGCTCTAAGTTTAAATAATTCAGTTTTTCCATTATGTCTGTGAAAAAAGCCAAATCCGCTAGCCAACGAGGGTCTGTTAGTTCAAAAAAATTTTGGTGTTTGGCATTGAGATAATTTTTTATTTCTTCAATTAAATTTACAAATCTAGCAAGAACTTTGCCTTTACTGAGCCAACGTACTTCAGTATGCAGAATGAGATCAGGATCTTCAGGATTTTCTAATAGGGCCTTGAAAAGGCGGTGTTGCAAAGGAGCTGCGCGAATTAAGTTGACTATTTTTGTAATTATTTTCATGACGTGTCCGAAGGGTAGTATTTTACCACACAAAACTTCCTGGTGGATAATACAGTGATACGACATAAAATTTGGAAATGATTTATCTTTTATGCAGAGGGCAATAAATCCATTGACATTACCAACCATTGCTGGTGCTCCGTCAGTGGTTATCGCAGACAACTTCTGGAGAGGCATATCTATCGACTTTGCATATGTTATAAATATTTTATAGATATCCTCACCTGTTGTTCGTCCTTTCATGGGTAATATTTTTAGTAGATCTTCTTTTACAGTAAAGTCACTAAATACCATTCTCACCATAACTGCTAACTGTGCTGTGTCTGATATGTCGGTAGACTCGTCAAATTGAAGTGAGAACCACTCACATATTTCCAAATCACTCTTTAACTGAGTTTGCATATCCTTTGAAATGGCTTGTATTCTTCTTGTAACGGTGTTATCTGACAACTGTAAGTCTTGTATTGCTGACATGATCTCACGTTTGTTGGAAAATCCCTCAAATAAGCAATCGGCGCCAGTAAGAAATGCTTCTTTTAACAACTCACCATCCTGGAAAGGCTTTTTCTTCTTTGCGAGTATGTGAGAAATTTTTAAAGAAGCAATAGTAGCATTTTTAGATCTTAACGCAGGCCTAGTGAAAACTGACTGTTGAGCGAACAGATTTGATTTTAGTTGATCTATTTTCTTCTTTCTTATTTCAGATTTAAGTGGATAGTTCGTATTAAAACTAGCATGAATTGTCAGGAAATGACGTTCAACGTTATGTTTTTTCGGCACCGCGACGCTATTTCCACACAACAAACAAATACATTTGTCTTTTAAATTGACGAAGCAATATAAATCCTCCCATTCAGTATTAAAATTATAGGTCTGTTGTCTTTTACTTGATCCACTCATTTTGGGGTAAAAATAAGGAAGTATTTAAAAACAACGAAAGAGGAAACACAGTATACAAAAAATATAAGCATATAATTATGAATAAGTAATAAAGTAGATACCTCGAATGAACATTTACCTCACAGCACAAACCACACTACTGTCTAGCTCTCATGAGACAAATGTCTTTGTTGTCACAACAACCATAAAAATGGAATGGTTTATTTCATTTTAGGTATGGGTAATAGGTTGGAGAAGATTTAGCAAAAGGGAAAAAAGAGATCAGTCGCATTTCGCTTTGTTCTTTTATCTGTGTTGGATGTCATTTCTACTTTTGTGTGGATAATCATTAAAAATAAGAAAACTTTTACATAGCATTTTATTGAAAACTGAAATATTTTTATCGTGGTCGCACAGCGGCGGGCACATGTAAAACGGTCGGCGGGCGCTATGGTGCCTGCGGGCATAGGGTTGGGGACCCCTGAGTTAACCTATTTATTTTTGATTAAACATTTTTTGAGACTTCCTCTCATCATATTGAACATTTAACTTTGAATGCAGAAATTTCAATTAGCCTTAAATTTGTATAACAATTGTTTTAATTTATTATTTACTTGCCATAACATTATTGAAAAATTGTAAGAATATTAAGATTGGTATATTTGCTGATTTATAAAACACATATGGAAAAGAAACACTAATTTTAGAATGATAAATTTAAGAAAAAAACTTTTTAAAAGAAATTTATTTTGTTAATACAATTGAAATTAAAATTGAATTTTAAAAAATCCAAAAGCTAATAAAGAAGGATATAGTATTATTACTACAATAGAGTCCCGAAAACTCGGCCTAATGTGGATCGAAGGGTGGCCAAGTTTGTGAAAATGCCGGATTATCGGGAATGGGGTTAAAAAAAATAAGTATGTGTTTCTTCAGAAAATACTGTACTGTACTTGTATGTATTGTTTGCTTGAGAATACAACAGAAAATAAACTGCCCAAATACCCTTAAACAAAGGAAAAGTATATATTTATGAAGGCATAGAGCCTTTACTACATGGAAATGAAAATTAATGAATCTACTGTGTACAGTAATTTACCTGATAAGACAGACCTCATAAAAATACTTTGAGGCATAAAGCTGTCTATAATGAAAATTAATTAACTAAGGGTTTTTTTGCCCTGCCAGGGTGTGGCAGAGTTATCCGGACTGCCAGGTTATCGAGTGCCAAGTTTTCAGGACTCTACTGTATTATTAATTTAGTATTATTCGACTTCAGATTTATAATTGATTGTAAATGACATGATCATCATTAGCCCACATCATCATAATCATCATTCTCTTCACATACATTGTAACTTTCATACAATAAATGATTTTCAGTGTCATCCATTGCATTATTTATACAATGTTTTTTTTAAAGGACTTGCCACAATTTCAGTCTTTTCACTTGCCACCTTTTCAGTTTTGCACATATGCTATATAACATAAGACCAAAGGTGCATCTTATAAGCTGACAAATATAGTTTATTAAATTACATTAAATTTTAGAGAAAATAAAACAAACATTCCTAAAAATTAAAGTATTATTTTTAAAATATTAAATCAAATTTTAGAAGTTAATAAGATTTAACTTTATTTTTCAGGTATTTGTAAATGTAGTAAAATATAAACTTGATCATATGCGTCGAAAAATAGAAACAGAAGAAAGAGATTCCACCAGTCGTGCTTCATTTAAATGTACATCATGTGAAAAAACTTTTACTGATTTAGAAGCTGATCAGCTTATTGATTTTGAAACCGGTGAATTTCGATGTAGTTATTGTAATGCATTAGTTGATGAAGATCAAACAGCTTTACCTAAACAAGATTCTAGACTCCTGTTAGCAAGATTCAATGATCAAATAGAACCACTTTATGATCTTTTAAGGAAAGTAGAGGATATTAAATTAGCACCAGAATTGCTAGAACCTGAACCTACAGATGTCAGCGACATAAAAAGGTACATAAGTCTTAATATAAAAATAATTTAACATATTAAACAAATTTTTTAAAAATTATACATGCATGCAGTTTAAGTATTTATAATTTTTTACTATAATAAAATCATTTTGATTAGCAATAAAACGTTTTATATATAGTCAAACCTCTCTAGTCCAACATTCAATAATCCATTATCCTCTATTCTGATACAACTTCTCAGAACACTTTTAACATCCTTAGACTTAATGTATTTCTTTAACTCAATAATGTCATTTGCTTCTTCAAATTTCAATACTATTTTATGGAAGAGTAGTATAATATTTTTAATATTATCTCATCTCTAATCTTACAATCATCTAAGAATTCAAAAATAGTCTTATGAAAGATCACAAAGAGGTGTGTCCATTTTCTGTATAAACTCATTAAATTAATGAGCTTGTTTAGTCTGTTGTCAAAACATTTTAATAACTGAATTGTTCATGGATATGGATTATTTAATATAATGAATACAATTAAGATATTTCTTAACTTATGTTTTGAAATTTTTTTTTTTTGATAGAGATGCTGGTAATCTTCCTAAAACAAAATCTTTGCATAAACCACAAGACCATGATAGCTGGAGTGGTGATGCTACTAGAAATCGTAATTATCATCTTAATGAAGAACAAGGAATAACTATCAATTTTGGTGATAAAGAAAGTACATCAGGTCAGATTGAACAGACTGTAGAACGTAAAGAAACACCAGTTTGGTTGTATAAGAGTACTGTTATAGAAGAAAAGCCAAGTTCAGTAAGTATAAAATATTAAAATATATAATTGCATTATTATCAAACAATTTAGAATAAGTTTTTTAAAAGAGTATTTTTTTAAACTTTAAACTAAGTCAATACTTTTTTTTACAGCTTTGCTATTTTAAATTCTATTTGAAGATATTTGAGCTAAATAGCTCAACATAAATATATATAATTTGTTTTATGAAATTATAATATTAACTGTACATTATACAGAATATGGTAAAAAGATTAATTTTTAATTTTTTTGAAAAAAAAAAGATGATGTCTAATCATCCTAAGTTGAAACTTATTGTAAACAAAGTTTGTATCATTCTACTGGTAATTTTTATTGGTCAATCCCGTGCAACACACACACACAATGTCATTTATATCATAAGTGTTCAGCACTAATGATATGAATGGTATTTATTATGAGCTTTAAGAGCCTAATAAAACTATAAATTTCAATGTCTAGTGTCAGCAATTCAATTTAGTAAACAATAATCTTAAAGCAAAATCCTCTACATCTGGCCAACTGGAAAGGAATTGTCTTTCACTAGAATAATGCATGTAGGAATTACCAGGTGTAACCTTGGTTAGAAAATACTGTTTTAGATTAACAATGCTATTCACCCAACTTTGCATCATCCAACTTTCATTTATTCAGATTTTTACCCAATTATACCAATTACAGTATATTTGTGGTTATCCAGGCTAGTTAATTATCTGTAATGGAGGCATGGATAATCCACAAGTCTGTTTTAAATGAAATTTAATCAATTTTTCTTTTTAGTCTTTAATTTTTATCTGGACTGCCAGGTTATCGAGTGCCAAGTTTTCAGGACTCTACTGTATTATTAATTTAGTATTATTCGACTTCAGATTTATAATTGATTGTAAATGACATGATCATCATTAGCCCACATCATCATAATCATCATTCTCTTCACATACATTGTAACTTTCATACAATAAATGATTTTCAGTGTCATCCATTGCATTATTTATACAATGTTTTTTTTAAAGGACTTGCCACAATTTCAGTCTTTTCACTTGCCACCTTTTCAGTTTTGCACATATGCTATATAACATAAGACCAAAGGTGCATCTTATAAGCTGACAAATATAGTTTATTAAATTACATTAAATTTTAGAGAAAATAAAACAAACATTCCTAAAAATTAAAGTATTATTTTTAAAATATTAAATCAAATTTTAGAAGTTAATAAGATTTAACTTTATTTTTCAGGTATTTGTAAATGTAGTAAAATATAAACTTGATCATATGCGTCGAAAAATAGAAACAGAAGAAAGAGATTCCACCAGTCGTGCTTCATTTAAATGTACATCATGTGAAAAAACTTTTACTGATTTAGAAGCTGATCAGCTTATTGATTTTGAAACCGGTGAATTTCGATGTAGTTATTGTAATGCATTAGTTGATGAAGATCAAACAGCTTTACCTAAACAAGATTCTAGACTCCTGTTAGCAAGATTCAATGATCAAATAGAACCACTTTATGATCTTTTAAGGAAAGTAGAGGATATTAAATTAGCACCAGAATTGCTAGAACCTGAACCTACAGATGTCAGCGACATAAAAAGGTACATAAGTCTTAATATAAAAATAATTTAACATATTAAACAAATTTTTTAAAAATTATACATGCATGCAGTTTAAGTATTTATAATTTTTTACTATAATAAAATCATTTTGATTAGCAATAAAACGTTTTATATATAGTCAAACCTCTCTAGTCCAACATTTAATAATCCATTATCCTCTATTCTGATACAACTTCTCAGAACACTTTTAACATCCTTAGACTTAATGTATTTCTTTAACTCAATAATGTCATTTGCTTCTTCAAATTTCAATACTATTTTATGGAAGAGTAGTATAATATTTTTAATATTATCTCATCTCTAATCTTACAATCATCTAAGAATTCAAAAATAGTCTTATGAAAGATCACAAAGAGGTGTGTCCATTTTCTGTATAAACTCATTAAATTAATGAGCTTGTTTAGTCTGTTGTCAAAACATTTTAATAACTGAATTGTTCATGGATATGGATTATTTAATATAATGAATACAATTAAGATATTTCTTAACTTATGTTTTGAAATTTTTTTTTTTTTTGATAGAGATGCTGGTAATCTTCCTAAAACAAAATCTTTGCATAAACCACAAGACCATGATAGCTGGAGTGGTGATGCTACTAGAAATCGTAATTATCATCTTAATGAAGAGCAAGGAATAACTATCAATTTTGGTGATAAAGAAAGTACATCAGGTCAGATTGAACAGACTGTAGAACGTAAAGAAACACCAGTTTGGTTGTATAAGAGTACTGTTATAGAAGAAAAGCCAAGTTCAGTAAGTATAAAATATTAAAATATATAATTGCATTATTATCAAACAATTTAGAATAAGTTTTTTAAAAGAGTATTTTTTTAAACTTTAAACTAAGTCAATACTTTTTTTTACAGCTTTGCTATTTTAAATTCTATTTGAAGATATTTGAGCTAAATAGCTCAACATAAATATATATAATTTGTTTTATGAAATTATAATATTAACTGTACATTATACAGAATATGGTAAAAAGATTAATTTTTAATTTTTTTGAAAAAAAAAAGATGATGTCTAATCATCCTAAGTTGAAACTTATTGTAAACAAAGTTTGTATCATTCTACTGGTAATTTTTATTGGTCAATCCCGTGCAACACACACACACAATGTCATTTATATCATAAGTGTTCAGCACTAATGATATGAATGGTATTTATTATGAGCTTTAAGAGCCTAATAAAACTATAAATTTCAATGTCTAGTGTCAGCAATTCAATTTAGTAAACAATAATCTTAAAGCAAAATCCTCTACATCTGGCCAACTGGAAAGGAATTGTCTTTCACTAGAATAATGCATGTAGGAATTACCAGGTGTAACCTTGGTTAGAAAATACTGTTTTAGATTAACAATGCTATTCACCCAACTTTGCATCATCCAACTTTCATTTATTCAGATTTTTACCCAATTATACCAATTACAGTATATTTGTGGTTATCCAGGCTAGTTAATTATCTGTAATGGAGGCATGGATAATCCACAAGTCTGTTTTAAATGAAATTTAATCAATTTTTCTTTTTAGTCTTTAATTTAATTTTAAATTTAACATAATAATTTATATATAATGAATAAAATATGTTTTGAGAATGAAAGTTGACCACTCAACAGTGAGGGATGGATATATCTGTTAACTTCTTTTGGGGTATTGCCAAAAACTACTGTGAAAAAAAATTCACATAAAAAAGAAATTATGTAACAATGAAAAAGGACTTCTTTACTAGACATAACTGTTTACAAAATCTTTTTCCAAAATGATAATGAGAAAAAAACGCATAAAAAAATACTTTAAAAATTTTTCACGTTTATTCTCCACTAGCAGACCCCGCCACATGTTGTGGCTCAAAATGTATCTATTATAAATTTATAACACTTCCCCCATGGGGGGAATTTCTCGAAAAATTACTTGTTAGTGTACATTCTGTTGACGTACCCTATTAAAACGCAATCAAAAATGCAAAACCCCGCATCTAAAATAGTATAATAGAAGCCAAGTTCTTCACAGTAAGCCTTAATCCTAACCATCTCCCTTCAGTGGGGTTGAATTTCGACACGTATATTATATAAAAACACGTGCATATTCGAATGCAGCGTTGTCAAAATTTCAAAGGAATCGGTAGGGACAAACGAACATTACATTTTTATTTATATAGATAGATAGATGATCTGCTTTAGTTCATTTTTACAGAAAAGCAAACTTAGGGCATCGAACTCGTAGTGCCATCTGTTGGACATAAAAACCTTAACCTGGATTATATCTTTTAATTTATATGAATGTTTAACAGAATAATATACAGTCTATGTCCATCCTGAAGTTCCATTCTAAATATTGGTGAAAGAATTTTTGAAATCGGATGAGTAGTTTCGGAGATTACCTGCTGTATACAAACTTACTTACATACTTACAAACATTACCTCTTTATAATATTAGTATAGACTACTTTAGGGTAGCACCATACCTGACTATCCCACTGCTGAAAGGTTAATTAATTAGTAAGTTTTAGATGTTATCAGAGTTGAATAAAAGTTTTGACATAAACAGAAAATTCAGAAAAATTTATTGAACTAGTTTCTCACAGTTTACTATTAATTTCTTGTATTATTAACTGAGGATGACAGGTTGCCAGCTAGATATTATCATAAAACATCATTAATTTTTGTGATATTAATGATTTATTGATGGGAAATAATTCAAAATATTTTCTTCAAACAATTTTGCAACTAAATTAAAAAACAACAGTACACACACAAGTAAAACAGCATTGTTCAAGAATCAGCTGCACTTACTGTACTTGTTAGGTTATTTAATTTATGCCTTCACATCCTGGAAGTAGTACCGATGCTCAATACCATTTAAAATAGCAAGACTTAACAACAGATTTTTTTTAATACTAATATTTGTATTCCTGATGTAAATTTTTATCAAGATTTAAGTTTGCACAGATAATCAAAAGTTTCTTCTTCTCTCTGGCCCTCATAGTCCTTGAAGGACCTTGGTCTCATCCAGGATTTTTACCCATTCCTCTCTATCTTGAGCCTTCCTTCTCCAGCAGCTCACACCCATCCTTCTCAAATCAGCCTCCACATCCTCATCCCATCTTTTTTGTGGTCTCCTTCTCAACCTTCTCCCCTCTGGTCTTTCTCTATACACTTGATACACCTTTCTCTCCGGGTCCATTCTTTCCAAATGCCCAATCCATCAAAATCTCCTTCTTTTGATTTCTGTCACAATATCAGAATTTTCATATAAATCTTCAAGTTCCTTATTACTTCTTATTCTCTACTCTCCTCCCTCTTGTACTGGCCCATATATTCTTCTCAAAATCTTCCTCTCAAATCGTCTCAACTGTTCTTCATGCTTACTTATCAGTGTCCAAGCTTCAGAGCCATACATAATTACTGGTCTTATAATAGTTTTATATATTCTGATCTTACTGCATCTTGATATTTCTTTAGATGTTAGAATTTGTCTTAAAGTATAATAGCTTCTATTTCCTGTTGTCACTATTGCCTTTATTTCTTCATCAATTTCATTCTTTTCTGTTAGCTGAGTTCCTAAATATTGAAATTTATTCACCTGTTCAAGTTTATGGTCCTTTATATGTAGAATTTGTCCACTTGGCCTCTGACAATCTTTTCTAATTAACTTCATATATTTTGTTTTTTCATCATTAACTGTTAGGCCTTTATCTATTGCTACTTCATCCATTATTTTAAATGCCTCTTCGATTACCTCTTTAGATCTTCCCAATATAACTATATCATCTGCAAATGCTAAGCACTGTAAATGTTTCTTAAAAATCGTTCCTCCTGCATCTACATCCATTTCCTCATATACTTTTCTCATTATTACTTCTAATACTAAGTTAAATAAAACTGTAGAAAGTGCATCTCCCTGTTTGAGTCCTTTCTTTATTGCAAATGCTCTTGACTTATATCCCTTGATCTTAACTCTGCCTTCCGTCTTCTCTAAAGTTAACTTTGTTATATTTATAAGTTTTTGAAGTATTCCCAATTCCTGGAGACTCTCCCAAACTTTTTCTCTTCTAATACTATCATAAGCTTTTTTAAAGTCAATAAAAAGTTGGTGTATCTCAATATTATACTCGTAGCATTTCTCCAGAATTAACCTTATTGTGGAGATTTGATCTGTTATTAAAACAGCACTGATAATCTCCCACTATATTTTCCATGTATACTGCTAATCTCTTTACTAATATTTTTGAAAAAATTTTATAAACTACATTCAATAAAGTAATTCTTCTGTAGTTACCACAATCTAGTTTGTCTCCTTTTTTGTATATTGGGCATATTATTCTTCTATTCCAACCTTGTTGTATCTGTTGACTTTTCCAGATTTTCTTAGCAAGTTCACTTATCTCTCGTTCCAATTTCGCATCACCTGCTTTTATCATTTTTGATACTATTCCATCCTCCCCAGGAGCCTTGTTGTTTTTTAGAGTTGTTATTGCCCATCTCAGTTCAATTGGTCTTGGATATTCACATCCCCTATTTTCACATTCTTCTTCTCCTTCCTCAGAATCTACCTCTGAGGCTTCTTCTATTTTTGTTTCCATTTGACCCTCTATAGATTCTACTCCATTGTTTAATAGTACTTCAAAATATTCAGCCCATCTATCTAGAATTTCACCAATTAATTCTCCTTTTCCTTACAGAAACCAATTTTTGGTTGAAACCCTTTCTTCTCTTCTCTAACCTCCATATTGAATTTTCGTATTTCATTAGTTCTTCTATTTTCTTCCATTTTTTTTAGCTTTGCATTTAGCCATTCTCTTTTTCTTCCTACACAATTCAGATGCCAGCCTTCTCTTTTCTTTGGAGTCTTCAATATTATTTTCAGACTCATTTTGAATCATTTTTAACCTTGCATTTCTTCTTTCTTCTAATGCATCTCTACAATCCATATCAAACCAACTATTTCTCCTCCTTTTTCTAGTACTTCCAAGTACTTCTGCTACAGTTGTGATGACACTTGATCTTGGATCTTCTCACCATTCTTAAATGTTTCTTGGTCTCTGTCTTCTTTCCTTTCCCTTCATCAGGTTTTGTTCAAGCTTTTTTGATATTTAATTTTAATTTTTCTGCTTTAGAGATTCAACTTCATATCTTATAGCACTTTTGCCCTTTCACTTCTTGGTTTGATTGATATTTTTTGTCTATTCACCAAGTAGTGATCTGTACTACAATCTGTCCCTCTGTAAGATCTTGCATCTGTAATATCAGTAGTATGCCTTCTATCGATAAGTATATGGTCTATTTGGTTTACAGTATTACCATCCAGTGAAATCCATGTACCTAAATGTATTCTTTTATGAGGAAACACTGTTGTTGCAACCACCATATTATGTCCTGAAGCTAGGTCTACTACTCGTTTACCATTGTCATTACTATTTTCATGAATGCTATTTCTTCCGATGACTCCTTGATACACTTCTTCTCTTCCTACCTTAGCATTCCAATTCCCCAGTATTAGTTTAACATTATGTTTTGGTACTATTCCTAGGACTTCCTCTAACTGACTATAAAATTCATCCTTTACCTCTTCCCTCTTCTCCTCTGTCAGTGCATGCACACTAATCATTGTGATGTTAAAAAATCTTCCCTTTACACGTATGGTGGTTATCCTTTCATTAATGCATTGATAATTTAGAATAGAATATTGCAGCTACTTTTTAATCATAAATCCAGTTCCCAATAATTCATAATGGCCATTTACACAGCCACTATGAATTATTAGGTATTTGTCTCCCTCTAATATACCACTGTATTTCCAATGTATTTCTTGAATAGCAGCAATTGCTATATTATATCTTTCTAGTTCTCTCTGAAGAACAAGAGTTTACTGTATTTAAATGGTAAAATATTTTTATTTTGAAGATGTAATATAACATGAAATTATTGTTTGAATCAAAACCAAAAAATTTTTATGCATACTTTGAATTCTGAAGAAAATTTTATTAATTTACCAAAATTAGTTGTTGTTTTACAAAATTTTTGAAATTAATTTTATTGGTGTTTTGAAACTGACAATGATTGCGACAAATCTAATTTTAAGTAAATATACAGTTCAGTCAATAAGTGAAGTTGAAGTTATCAATTGAAAAATTAATTTTTAATTATTAATATTTTAGTACAAGATGGCAGCACAATCTCTTATCTTTATGCCAAATTTTTATGTTAATTATCATATTTCCTTGATTTTAAGATATACTTTTTAGCCTTACTATTTACTTTAAGATATACATTTACAGGACTAAAGTTAGTAGTCATTATGACCATTCTGCATCAAGTATCAATAACGAGCACTTTCAAATATACTGTTCAATGATGTATCAGTTAAAATTAGCTTTACTGATAATGAGCACTTAACTGAACTCCTTTGTAACATTTAAAATGCATATTTTAAAATAATAATATCCAGGATTAAAACACACAGTTTTATTGTGTATGCAGCATGGAAATTGAGCTACCATATATTACTTTAAAAAAATTAATAAAATTGATTATTTTAAAATTTCCCCTCTCAAAAATTCTTAAAAAAAATTTTTCCAAACTCCTGATGTGTTTTAGAATCAAAGAAATATGGTAATTGAATTTCAATCTGAATGGTATAAAACATTATGTAAAATGATATGTTTTGATTCTTTCATTATTAACTGTTGTTCTCTATAATAAATATTAACCATATGAATACAATTGATAAAATGTATAAAATAATCATGTGTAAAAGTTTTAGAAAGTGAATCTCAACTTTCTTAGTGAGTAACAGTTCATTACAGGAAATTGTTTTGTTATGTATTGTAAATTTTTATCTGCTTTTTTAAAGCAATCTTCTTTACTATGGTATGTTGTTTGTCATATAAATGTAATGTTTATGGTATGGCTTGCAAATTGTCCATGGTATTTAAATACAATAATAATAATTATTTAGTGATCATGAAGCAATGTGTTAAACATTTTGCATCCTAACATGATAATTTATTAGTTATAGTACAAACAAACATTTTACTTTACTTTTTAGATACGTTTTAAGATATTGGTTAGGATTAATACTTGAGATATTTGAGTAGTACTATTGAGAGATTAATCTCACAGTACACAATGCAACAAATTGTAAGGTGATAAAAACTTTTTTTGAAAATGTAGGCGTTCTTTATGTATTTCGACCTCCTGAATTTGAAAATGGTACTCCAAACATCGTATCACCCACAGTTTTTGCACAAATCGCATATTTTGCAATAATGATAATATACCTGAAAACACCTCAATGCCTCAATACCTGTCGGCCATTCTGTGCACCTGAAGAAAACATATTAAAGCACTTCTTACTATCATTCATTATGAGGATCACAATTGGATGGTGTGTGGTGATTTCAAAGTGTTGAGTATGCTTCTAGGACAACAATCAGGATATACCAAGTTCCCCTGTTTTATCTGTGAATGGGACAGTCGAGCTTGTGACAAACATTGGGAGCAAAAACAGTGGCCTCGAAGGTTGGAATTGGTTCCAGGGGACAAAAATATTAAGTGTGACCTTCTAGTGGAAAGAGACAGAATACTCTTACCACCTCTGCACATCAAATTGGGCATAATGAAGCAGTTTGTCAAAGCATTAAATAAGTGTGGGAACTGTTTCAAATATCTATGTTACAAGTTCCGCAATCTGTCAGATGCTAAGTTGAAAGAGGGCATGTTCACTGATCCCGATATTCGGAAAGTAATGCTAGATGAAGACTTCCTTCATTCAATGAATGCCGTGGAGCGAGAAGCCTGGACTGCCTTTTAAGTGTGTGGTTCAAAACTTTCTGGGAAACAATTGTAGCCCAGAATATATCGACATAGTTGAGAACATGCTGATGAAATTCAAAATGCTCGGATGCTCAATGAGTCAAGGTGAGAATTTTTACAATTCACACCTTGACTTTTTTCCTCCAAACCTGGGTGCTGTAAGTGAGGAACAGGCTGAAAGATTCCATCAGGATATCAAGGACATGGAACGATGACGATACCAGGGTACTTGGGATGTTCGGATGATGGGCAACTACTGCTGGATGCTTCACCATGAGCACAAAACGGAAATTCCCCATAAGAGGAAAAGCAGGGGCCACGCCATGACAACTAAGAAAGCACGCAATGAATGATATTAGTGCATGTTTTGTACCATATTCTCTGTATGCATCTGTTCACTGTGTATATATTTCAATATGTTGTTGTTTTAAACTTATATTCTACTTCTGCATGATTCGTATGCCATATATATGTACTACTTCTATATATGATATTATTATTGCAAAATATGTGATTTGTGCAAAAACTGTGGGTGATACGATGTTTTGAGTATCATTTTCAAATTCAGGAGGTCGAAATACACAAAGAACACCTACATTTTCGAGAAAAGTTTTTTCACTGTTGCATTGTGTTATTGGACATTCAAAATTAGTTATACTGTTATTTAATTACTTATATTTATTATAATCTATATATATAAAATTGCTTGTCCTGACTGACTCACTCATTCACTCATTGATTCATCATTGCCCAGAGCAAACCGCTGAACCTAAATTGGTGAAATTTGGTACACCGTTAGGGTACGTCATGAAAACGCACACTAAGAAGGGATTTTTCGAAATTTCCCCACGGGGGGAGAGAGGGGATTAAGTCTTAACCGGAAGAACGGCTTCTACTGTACTATTTTAGATGCAATTTTTTGTTTTTATATGCGTTTTAGTAGGGTATGCCATGGTAATGCACACTAAGAAGGGATTTTTCAAAATTTCCCCGCGGGGAGAGGGGGGAGGATCAAGTCTTAACCGGAAGAATGGCTTTTACTGTACTATTTTAGATGCAATATTTTGTTTTTATCTGCGTTCTGGTAGGGATGCCATGAGAATGCACACTTCGAAGGGATTTTTCGAAATTTCCCAGTGGGGGGAGAGAGGGGATTAAGTCTTAACCGGAAGAACAGCTTCTACTGTACTATTTTAGATGCAATTTTTTGTTTTTATATGCGTTTTAGTAGGGTATGACATGGTAATGCACACTAAGAAGGAATTTTTTGAAATTCCCTCACAGTGGAAAGAGGGGGAGGATTAAGTCTTAACAGGAAGAATGGCTTCTACTGTACTATTTTAGATGCAATATTTTGTTTTTATCTGCGTTCTGGTAGGGATGCCATGAGAATGCACACTTCGAAGGGATTTTTCGAAATTTCCCAGTGGGGGGAGAGAGGGGATTAAGTCTTAACCGGAAGAACGGCTTCTACTGTACTATTTTAGATGCAATTTTTTGTTTTTATATGCGTTTTAGTAGTGAATGCCATGGCAATGCACACTAAGAAGAGATTTTTAGAAAGTTTCCCGCGGGGGGGTGAGGATGAGATTGTTCGTTACTCCTTGTCCAGTTATCTTCGTTATTCATCATCCTGTAAAAAATATACATTAAATAGTGCATTCTCTTTTTGGAACGATGTAGAGATGTATTCATTTTCTTTAAATAATTAAAATTACACGAAATAATTTTTATAGAAAGGGCATTTTTCTTTACCCCATATTTGTATAGCCGCTTCATAATTCCGAGAAAACTTAAATGGAGACACACAATGTCATCTGTATCTTCGAGACGTTAATTACCATTAAGATTAAATTAATTACAACGGGTATTGTTTAGGAGACGTTTACGAGATGCCATTTTGCCGTTGTCGATAGCAACGATTCGCGACCATTTTGAGCTAGTGGCGCACAATTTTTGACGACACGAGATAACGAGACACCCTTATATGTATAAACTAACCGCTGCGTTAAATGCTGCATTCAACCC